AACAGTCTATGCTAAGTAGTTACAAAAAACCAAATTATACATAAAGGAAGAAGAAATAAGATAGTTAAATTATGGAGCATAAATAAAAAATGTTAAACAGAAAAATAATAGACAAAAAAGGTTGATTATTTAAAGAGATCAATAAAATGGAAAAGTTGATCTCTATACAGATCAGTCTGAGCATAAAGGAAGCAGACATACATCACTAATATAGGAAATGAAATTAAAAAAAAACATTACTACAGATCCTACAGACATAGTGAGGATAATAATATAATGTGAACAACTTTGTCAATAAATTAAATATCTTAGATTCACAATCAGAATTGCTAGCTGAAAAAGTAATCTTATTATAAGAATTTATCTAATTTTTAAATAGGAACAACACAATATAATTAACTCAGTTATCATATTTTATATATAAAAATGTAAAAAAAATTTCCATTTTTCTGAAGCTCAGAACCTTCTCTTAAAATTACATGTAACTGATACCTTTTATCAAATTATTTTGTATTTACTCCTGATTTTATAAAATACTACATGCTAAAATTTTTACTGGATAAATGCAATGCTTTCTCTTGTTATATTAACAAGCAAAACCATTTTTGTCTATTGTACATATGTATCCTTGCCTTTCCATATGACCTTTAAAATTTAACCAGGGAAGTGGGGGGAATACAGTGGCAATAATGTTATAAAATATAAATCTGTTAAACTATTGAATTGCTTTTCCAAAGTATTCAATTTAAAAAACATTTGCATTAACTATATATTCACTCGAAAAGCTATTTGGCATAAAATGAGAATTATAAAAATTACACAATATAATATCTTCTAGGAGTAAGTTCTCTTAACATGCAAGGTTTAGCTAGCACAAATGAAACTAATTAATAACATCTGAAGTACATTCTCCCATAGGACCGATGGCCATCTGGTTGACCTTGCGATAGATCAATAGAGATGGCAAATCTGTAAATCGTTTCTTAAATGTTATCAGTCCATCATTCCACCACAAGCAGAAGGGCTGGAACTTGAATGTGAGAAAGGATCTCTTGTTCCTTATACCTTTAAGTCAACTATGATCCATCATTTGACTATAAATAAGACAAGACTTGGAGGATTCTCCTAAAGTTCTCCCCAGGAAGAGACAGGCAGAGGATCAAGTTACAGTGAAGATTTCAAGACAAAAGAGTCAGGAGGCAATGTAATTATGAGAAACTATAAAAATGCAAAAGACCTCTGCCTGGTGTAACTTGAAATTACTTGAATTTCCTCAAAAGCATCTTCCAAGTCCTGATTTTTGGTTGCAAGTTAGTTTAGAAATTTAGAAATATGAAATAAATGAAATAAAGTATATACCTTTATGCACTTAAATTAACATACGTTCATATAGAAGATGGGGCAAAAGTAGATTTATAGTTGTTCATATGGAGAATAATTGATAAATAATAGTGCAATAATTATTTGGGTTTACTCATAACTATAAACAGATTTTTTGCCCCACCCTATATATGTCAACCCGGCACAAATTTCTGTATTTTGATGTCAAGACTAAACTACTTTGGAGGAAATTTAGTAACCTACTCAGAGAAGTCATCATAAAATCAATGACAAACTTTAATAAGAAATTTGGAACAAGCATCTCAAGCAGGTATACTATCAAATCTCTTAAGAAAATGCTTATAAATTTATGATTAAAATTTAAACATTTTAACGTGGTTTTTTTGCCCAAGGTACTTTTCCTATGATACTTTGACATATATATAGTCTAACTTAAGAGTTTTTTGTATTTTATGAAGAAATTATGGAATTTCCATATTGATATATCACTTTAAAATAGTCTCTAAATTGTGATATTTTATCTCTATGATTATTTCTTATTAAGGCTATTGGAGAGTATTATGCTATGTGAAATAAGCCAGTCAGAGAAAAACAAGTATCACATGATCTCACTTGTATGTGGAATCAAGTGAACAAAACAAACTGATGAACAAAAAAGATCCAGGCACAAGCATGCAACAGACTGAAGTATTTCAAAGGGTAGGGGGAGGGGTTATGGGAAGAGATTAACCAAAGAATTATCTATGCACGGCCCATGGACAGATAATATAGTGCAGTAGGCCTGGGGAGGGGACAGGTGAGGGGTGGAGGGTGTCTATGGGGAGAAAAAGGGAGACATCTGTAATACTTTCACAATAAAGATAATTCTCACCCAAGGAGTGCAGATATTTTTTCCATTGATTTTTAGAGAGAGTGGAAGTGGGGAGTGAGAGAGACAGAGAGGAGAGAGGAGAGAGAGAAAGATCAACCTGAGAGAGACACATCGACTGGTTGCCTACCGCTCACTCCCCTGATCTGGTCATGGACTGATTCTGCAACTGAGGTATGTGCCCTTGACTGGGAATAGGATCCATGACCCTTCGGTCTGCAGACCAACACTGACCACTGAGCCAAACCAGCCAGGGCAATAAAGATATATTTTTTAAAAAAGGCTCTTGGGAAGAATAAAATATCAGGAATTATAAAACTTTCAGATCACTAGCTTATTTTACCATATTGTATTCTACACCTATATACATAAAAGCCTAAGTGACCAAACGACCCGCCGCTGGTCACTATGACATGCACTGACCACCAGGGGGCAGGCGCTCAACACAGAAGCTGCCCTCTGGTGGTCAGTGCGCTCCCACAGTGGGAGTGTTGCTCAGCGGACCACCTGTCCCGGTGGCCCACTCCCTCCCTCAGTAGCCCTACAGGTCCAATCTCCAGAGAACAGGCAGGTACCAATGGACTGGTGCTGCCGGCACAATCCCAACTGTGCCACTGGCCTCCTGGAAGTTGGCCTCAGGCACTGCGGCCGCTTCCCCTCCCTTGGAGCTCCTCAAGAAAGAAATAATATAAAAGCTGCCGCCAGGTGGCTCCCAACAACCAGCAGGAACATCAGTGGGACGGATCCGGATTCCGATCCGGATTCCAGGGCAGCAAGGGCATCCCACCACCCGCCCAGAGGGCCAATCACATCCCAGCCCTCTCCCTTCTCCCTCAGGACAGGTGCCAGATGCAGGGCTCACAGCTGGCAAGTGCCACTGAGTGACGTGAGTCTCTCGCGATCAGGACTGACTGGGCACAAGTCTGCAGCAGGTGCAGCGGGCTGGGATGAGCGGGAGCGGCAGGTAGGAGTGGCATGCAGCACTGGACTGCTGGTTTCGGCCCAATCTCCACAGACCTCGCCAAGGGACCCCATCCATACACGAATTCATGCATTGGGCCTCTAGTATGTTTATAAATGAAGGTAAGTCTTATTTTGCAAGAATCTGTTTTGAGTTTGGGAGCACTTAAAATATTAGTGATGCAGTATTTTTAAAAGCCCATTATACCTTCTAGTCACTGTATACAGAGCACTTACTGTCCTACATAGTATTAAAGTTTGGTTTTAAAAGTTTGCATTACTAAACTTCATTAAAAGACAAATTTTAATTGTCACTTCAAACATACACTTGATGAAATATCTCTGGTGACACACTTATCTTTAATATTTACCTATTTTGGATTAAGTTCGGGTTAAACAAAGTTTGATTAATGTTGATGAAATAGAAAGGGCTTAGAGACCTAATCTGTGGGACCACTCCATCTTCCTATATACTGAGAGAAATACAGAAAACAGGGAGACATTGTACTGCTCCTTAATGCCTTGCTTTTCTTTTTTAAAAAAACATTTCATAGCTCTCAGCTTAGGAGAAAAGTTGTAAGCTGACTATGGGATGCTTTAGTTAGTAATTTTTTTTTAAAAAATAGGACACTTCAAAAGATGTTTTCCTTCTTCACAACTTATCTGGATAGTCATGGGTTTTAAGGGGGAATGCCTGGCTTAGAAGCTAAGGAAGCAATTAGGAGCTTACGCACTCTAAGTTCATAAGGCTCCTAGAGGACTTATGATAACCTTGGAGAAAGCTTTTGGTGGGGAAGGGAAGGGGAGGAGAAGGGAGGGGAGGAGAAGAAGGGAAGGGAGGGAAAGGAAAAGGAGGGGAGGGGAGGGGAGGGGAGGGAGGAAGCCATTTGACTGATAAGTGTCAGTCATACTACTACTTGAAATTCAAGATACCAGTGTTTCAAAGACATCCTGCTACAGGAAGGTCTTAGAGTATATTGTTTCTCAAAGGAAAATGAAAATATGCCCAATAATACTGAGGTTTATGCAGAAACAGAGTTGAAAGAAGCCATAAAAATATAAATAACCCTTAGTGGCAGGGTGATATTCCTGATCCATTTCTTATCCCATCTGTCCAATTACTATGGGTTATGTGACTGACGGAAATCATCCATCTGTAAGTCCTTTGAGCAATATACATTAAAGCTCATGCATACATTCGGCAAACCATTCCTCAGAGGACTTACAACTTTTATGTGTGTGAAAATTTGAAGTCACACTCGTTTCCCTAAGCTCCCGAAGATAACATCTGTACACAACAGCAATCAAAAGCATATTTTGAACTATTCCTTTAGTTCCTTTTCAATTAGGAGACTTTGCCAACCTCAGGAAGCCCTTGTGGAAATAGAAGAAACATTATTATATAGAAAGACCAGTGTCAAGACTCGTGCTCAAAATTTATTAGGAAAAGTTTCAGTAATTTAACCTTCATAGTTCTTTCTGCTAATGAAGATTAGTACATGGGAGGTGTTTCTCAACCAAACCAGGTGAATATTAAAATCAGAGATTGTAGGCTTTGAGTTCTTCACCATCGCTCCCATGCATGCACATGCAAACACAGAAGAAATTTAAAAGGGGGCAGAATACACTTCAAGCATTTTCAGAAACAAAATGTAACAGAGGGCTTTTGTCTATTAACTAATAATTTTAAATAGCCATATCATCCAAAAACCAGTCCCATAAATATTTTTTAAAATCAATATTCAATACTTTACTGCCTTTAGCTTTTTAATCTGGATAAGAAAACAAATGATAAATAACATTTTCCCAGAGAATTTATCAACTTGCTTACCATCAAATGTTAAATAAACTCTTGCTTGGGGCTGAGAAGATCCTTTTACACAGACAGAACAAACAAATACTCCAACCAACATGCAAATTGCCTGGAATGCCATTTCTTCAGATTTTCAAGTTAATATCCAAGAGAAATACCTTTAAAAAAGAGATAAGTTTCTTACATTTCATTTCACATTTTAGGAGCACACCCACACCCACATAAACATAACCAGCAATCCGGACAGAGCACCTTATTCACAAAAGACATTCCTGAACTTTCACAGTCATGCAAACAGTAGGAGGTGCTGTGACTTTGCTCCTTAGCTGTGAAAATTTGGATTCAATTCCCCTAGTCTGGCAGTGTTGGCGAAAGAAAAACTCTCATCTTCCAAAACTTAAAGAACAAAGCAGCCAGGAAAAAGTGATTGATTCCCAAAGGAAAACCAATATTTAAATGTGATCGCCTCTCTAAAAATCACAGTATGTTTAAATGGCTTGAGAATGGTATTGATAGGTATGAATGGATGAAAACATCCCTTCCTACCATAAATACAATAATAGTAAAAAAAAAAAAAATCCCACATGAACATTCCGTACTCATTAGCTCTTGTATCTGAAATGGTGTTTCTATGCATAAATGGACATGTGCTCAATCCCTGATCACTGAAATCATTTGAATCAGTTATCGGCCAATTTATACAGATGACCGAGCAGCTGTTAAATGAAGCAGATGAGGTAACCTTGGACTGGTGCCAAATTCAAACCAATGACCTAGTGGTGAGCAATCTAGTGAACCATATATCCCTCAATGCATAGTTCATATAAATCAACCAGAAAGTGGCTGTCAAAATCCCAATAGATAAATCATAGAGACAAGTCCTATCTGGAACTGTAGCTATAACATTGATACATGCTATTAACTAACATCTGAATACCAAGGAAGATCAGGTAACCGGTTAACTACAGATCTATAAACTCTCCAGTGGTCACAACATGTGAAATAATCTCAGGACCATAAAAATAATATCTCATTATTTTGAGTCTAGCATAATTATATACTGAAATAACATAACAGTTTAATCTAGGAATTAATTTTTATAGATCACAACAATTCTGACCTTCCTTCAATATTATGTGGCTTTTAAAATTAAAATCTTACCACTGATTTTACTCAATAAAATGCCATTACAAGTTGTAAACACTGCTTCATTAATGCAGAAGAAAAAAAGACCAATTATACTGAACATGCCATTCTAAACGAACATTGTAAGTTGATTTCCGAGGTGGCACGTATACGTTATGAGAGTTAGAAACAAAATCGCACACCTCTTTCACCACACAGATGGAGGGAAACCTTGAGATGTTAGTGTTGGTAATTTTCAAAAGAAACAGTTTCTTCCTGCTTCCACAACCTCTTCACCCTGTCATCCCTAAATTGTCTTAGAAGAAAATTGATTTTATGGAGTGACTTTCCCTTAGTCATTTGTTTCCTGGGAAAAAACCCACAAAGATGCCTAACCTTTGTCTCTTTATTAAGAAGGCTGATAGGATTTACATATTTTTACATATTACTATTATCAGTATTTTATCTGGTATGTCTCTCCTCCCCCCCCCCAAAAAAAAGAGACACTTGCCACAAATTGCAAAAAAATAAAATAAAATACATATTGGAGATGAAATGACAGGTCCAAGGAAGCAAGAACACAGTGCCATGTGGTTTCAAGCCTACCTAGGGAAAAGCGACTCAAAGCAAGTGTCTTACACACGCCTCGCATCCCCTACTTTACAACTTCTTCCCTTTAACTCAGACACTTAGGCAGGCTGCTTATTTCCACTTCTCATCGAAACCCTAACAGCCGGGAAGAACAAGACTCTTAGGTCCTCCCCAGCAATTCCGCCTCCGAAGTCATTGAAACGCGCAACTTTAGCTCGCCGCAGGTGTCACAGCCTACAGAAACAACTCCAGCCGGGCTCGCAGCAAGGGGAACGGCTCCCGGACAAACCGCGTAGGTTCTTAAGAAAATACACAGAACGGAGCACAGTGATGTGTGAAAAGTCCACACACAGACCCCAAACTAATGCTGAACCCCAGGACCCCGCTTACCCAGGGGCCAAGCGACCAGCCCGGAGAAACCCAGGTGCTACCGGTCTGGCTCGGCGTGTGCCTCCAGCCCTGCGCCCAGAAGACGTGCCTGTCGGAGGCGGCCCCGCGGGGAAACTCCTTCTCCCCGGCCGGTCCTCGGAGTTTC